CTTGACCAAGCAATGAGCTGGTGCCCTGACAGAGAGACGTTATCCTATCCTGACATGCATGTATGAGGTAATCTGCCAATCCTCTTGACCTGCCATCTCATACTGACATCCACTAGTGCACAGATTGTCCCTCCTGTACAGAGTCTACCTCCGAGGCCTCCTAATCATAGTGTGCACCTTTAGCATTTGTTCTGATATTCCACAGCTGACCTTGTGTTGGCCTATAGTCCATATCCCATGACATGTTTACTCAATGCAAGCATCTGGGATCATTCCACATCCTCTGTCACTAATCAATAAATGCAGTCCAGAGCAAATGGTCACTATGACATTGACATGAAATGCTATGTATTGAAAACAGATAGCCACATCTTCATAGTAAGCATTAGTCTCTATTGCCAAAAGCCTGTACCTGGACCACATGATCAAGGGGGTTGTATATGTAAGGAAAGCACCATGACCCAGATGCAAATCAATGCAACTTACCTGAATACTACCATGTACATCTCCCTCAAGAGAGGTACATGTGAAGCCCTATTAGCAAATCAACCTATCCCCAGTCATTTTGTGCAAGTTCTCAGTATTTGAGATGAGAATGACCTTGGTTTTGGTTCCCAGCAGTATTTGTATGTTTGCTTATCTCAACTCAAAATGGCTATCTCTCATTGCACAATAGGATGGAGATCAGTGATGGATTCGCTAGCATTCCCATCATGCTGACCACCAACTTGAACAATCTCATCTCCAAGAAGAAAATTGCACCACTATCTATTATCAAGATCACCAAACATGTTCACCACAAAGTTTTGGGAATACAGTAAGCATATCATGTGCTGGTCTTCCTTTACAGCCTGCACTCACCTCATCAAGAGTAGCATGGTTATCATTAGCTCAATCAGCTTCATAGGTTCAGCTGGTCCCATTTGGAGTATTCCTGTGCCTCTGGACATTATGGAGGACTCAGATGAGGCGCTTTCAGCATCTATTGCTTGCATGGAACATGGCAATCTTCTTGAAGGCCCTGACGTTAGCACATTATTGCTCTGCCCCTCAAGCTGCTCATGTTGATCTGTAGCAGTCAAAGGTGTCTATTGGCATTCCACTCACCCCTTCTCTCAATGGTTGCTCCCAATCCTTGCGTCTTCTGAGTTGTCTGCACTGGAGCCCAAAGTGGGAGTTCTCCTATCCCAGCCGGACAACATCACCATCCATGGGGTGCACCACCAGATCAATACTTTTGCTGACGAAGACACACATGTTAAGGCAGCAAGCATGGAGAATATGAGCAATGGGCAGAAGAAGTAGGCACTTATTGCATGGGCATTCATATTACAATACCTACATGATCATACACTGTATCTTTCACAATTAGTACAATTCCCATGTTATCATTATTGTCCACCAACTGCACATATATGGATGTGATCAGGCACAGTCATATTTGTGAAAAGGCTGGAATGGTGATGGCAGTGCTTATGTGACAATGGCACCCTGACCAGCATCTGCCTCATATCTATCCTGCAATGCTCTCTGGTGCGCAATGTCCTTTACTTTGGGATCTAAGGCATCCGCCTGTCTTCTTCAACTGCTGCCAATACCAGATGTCCAGAGAGCAATCTATTGGCAGGAGTGTCCCCCCTTTGCACTGATGCCTGGCCCCGGCAGCATCAAATGCTCTCAATTGGGCCCAAGTCAACAGCATGCGCTCATGTGTCCACAGCATCTTGGAGGAACCCTTTGTCCAAATGGGATGAAAGCAATCTGTTTCATCCCCATGTCAAGGCAGATCTATAGGCCCTGACTCTCCTGAGTCCTCACATGCCCATGGATTTGGGCACACTTGCTGCATACAGCACTGCCAGTTCTGAAATTGTTTGGAAGTGATGGTCAATAGTTTCCTGAGTGGGGCTGATGACTTGGAAGTGTGTGCATCTTCTATATCACCATATGTGGATGTAAATTTACCATGTTATAGCATTGTTTCTCAGGGAGGCATCTGAGAGTCTGTATATCATAGGGGCCACTTGTTTTGTACCATCCCAATCTGTGTATGTGAGCATCTCCACACACTTGAGCCTGGATCCACTTGTCCTGAGCGTCCTCCTTCATCGGGAGATGCACGTGATAAGTCACAGTTGCTTGACCCCCCCCCTGTACAACTCACTAACAATGGACTGCCTCCCATGCCTTGGGACCTATCAAATGTCCCGGAAACAAGAATGTTCCAAATAGCCAATGGTTCACATGTTCCTCTCCCCTGTTATGGTGTCTATCACTTTACTCTGGCCAAAAAATTCCCATCAACCCCCACTCACCAACCCAACAGTCTTGGCCAGATTGCCCTCCCCATTATATTCCGCTGAAGGCCAGCAATGCTCTCTTGCACAATGATTTCAATTTCTGGCTGGGTGCTTGTGCCTTTGTACTAGATGGGAATGTGTTTTAATGCTTGAACAGACATCAATTTGGGCAGGCATTGTCTGTGGCAGCATCTTCCAAAAATACTGAAGCAGCAGAAGCATATGCTCATCAGGATCACTCAGTACATCCCCCTACCGGGTTGTCATGACCACCCACACCCATGGACCACCGTGTTGCAGTGGGCCATCAATGTTGGAATGTGGGACGGGACACTTTGCTTCAAAGATTTGGCCCCAGATAAGAATTTCGATGGGACTGGATAGTATCCATTCAATATCAGTTGAGATCAGGCTGAACTGAGCAATCCCCCAATTGTGCAGTGTACAAATGGGGTGACGTTCCTTGTGTCAGACTTTGCCAAACTATATACCATGGATTTTAGGGTATCTTGCAAGTTGGCCATTCTGGATACCCTGTTGTGGCAGCCTTGGCAAGAGATCATCAGATGCTACGAGTATGTTGACAAGGATGAAGATCCTTTTTTGCCTACCTACCAAACTGCTGAAGATCAACGACATGATTGTGGCAGTCAAACTGACACATGCAGAGCAATCAATCAGTTTCAACATGGTGAAGATGAACAGTCAGACACCAGTGACTGGATTTCGCGGGAGGAGGAGGATCTTGATGAAGGTGTGCCTGATGGTAGCTGATGAGTGCCATATGAACTTCATCAGTTGACACCAAACATCAAGGGCAACAGACACATGTTGCAGGCAAATCTCCATGTGCACCACATGCTTGGAGATTTGCATTACAGGAATGATTATGAAGACAGGCATTCCAAGAAGAAGGTTAAATGTGGATGTTATAGCTAGTGTATGTGCCAAGCCAAGTGTGTCTCTTTCATTACGCCCACATCATCTCCTGTCAGTACACTACCCCTGTCCCACTGATGCTGCATCAGGCAACCACCTTTGATACAGACTCCTGCACATGTCAGCTCATGTAATGGCAATGGGTTATCACATTGTATTTACTTCAGTTTGTATGGACTGTGCTGCAAAATAGATTGTTTGGGAGGCCTGAGGTGCAGGATGATCAACATGAGCACAAGGGATGCTCAGATTATCATACCTGCCTCAACCTCTTGCTGGTTTTCCTGAGCATTGAGAGGACCCCTTGCATGGAGCTTTTTGCTTCTTGGAGCCTTTCCAAAGGGGATGCACACTCTCCTGTGCCCCAACAGAGAGTATCTGCATTTCTGCATTGATAATTGAATGAGCACACCTACATTATACATTCAAGAGATGCATAGGCTCACCAACGGGCTCATTCTGATGTTGTAGACTGGCGCATTCATCATCAGAACTAGGAGGGGGGGAGTTAGAGGCTCAGGAGCCAGGGAATAGCGATCATCTTCTAAATCCTGATCAAAAGACTCAAACACTGGAGCATTTGATGACTGCGGCAGGGCTATCAGTGCGATCGGGTCTTCTACAGGCCTGGAAACAAGGGCCATGGGGGCAGGGGGAACAGCTGTCAATGTGGGCTGAACAGTGGTGAGCAATGTTTGAGGATTTGCCTGTGATTGATCCCTGCTTTTGAAAAAGCTAAACCCTTTGCCATGCCAAATTTGTTGCTGGTGAACAAATTCATACATGGTGAGCAGCTCCACAAAGGACATTTCTTCAGGGTCCAATAAGGAAACTGTGGATGGGAGACATCCAGGCTTGACTCTGGCCATTGGCCATTCTATTTCCAACTGCCCAATCTTGTGTTTTAACATGCAACATGTCAGGATCTGCCGGGCACAGGGATGAACAAGGTGTTGCAAAAAGGTATGTAAGACAACTGATATCTCCAAACAATTCCAAGCAGGATTAGTGGTGGAAGAATGGGGCAATTGTTTGTATTTTGCTGAAGAGTGGGCAAGACTCTGGCAGTGGCATCATGCAGAGAGTATGGAACTAGAAAATCAGGAATGAGTACAGTAACAGTGTGTTTGAGACAAGACATGAACCAGCAGTTTTCACGAAGTCCACCCATGGATGATGAATATCAGTATTGAATCACAAATGGAAGTCAGAGAAGCGAAGTCCATTAGGTGTCCAGCCAGTATTGACACTGCAGAGTGTTCATCCATTGAATGCTTGTGTGCTATGGCTACTCACAGTGTTGCCATTCTTGCCCCACTCATGTCAACCCCTTTGGCTAAAGTAAAGAAGACCCACCCAGTGTGTGCATGCAGGGCTTTTTTGAAGGGTGGCAATGGTATTGAATATTGTGTCCAGTGCCCTAGCTCATGAATTAAATCGAGGTTATTGAGTGATAAGGTCAACGTACCCTTGAGTACCCTGAACAGCTGCATTTGACTGTTTCATCTGTTCCCTCCAGCGTTCTGCGCAATCCTGATATTCTTTGCATTGCTCTTCTGACAGTTTGTTATACCATCTTCAAGAACTCAGGTTGTGCTTGGAATATGGTTTTACTGGCATTCACAGCATGTTTGGTGAGTCAATTGGAGAAGTTGGGAATGTCAGTCACCATTAGTTCACATGCTTGGTTGACAAGTGGTGCATGTCTTGCATGAGGGACAGGCAACTTCTGTAGGGGATCAGCAGTGTGTGCTCAATTATTCTTCAAGAAGATGTAGATTTGCTTGAAGCAATGACGTCAATGTGCATATCAGTTAATGAGAGACAGAGTACACATACCTGGTTAATGGAATCAACCTCTCTCTTTGGGACATAATCAGGGAAATCAGCCTGGAATGCAGTCGCAATACTGTGGGCAATTTTTTTGCCTTGATGTTTATCAGCATGAGCTCCAAAAGCAGGCAAATGTTCCAAAAGCCATCGCCTGTGCTCATCCTTGAAGTGCACCATGTGTCAACCAGGCAGTGATTGTTGTCCAAGTCTGCAGAGGAAATCCGGGCATTTTATAGAGCTATTGGTGCACGGATCACAAGGAAGATGCATTGGGACCTGGGAGTGACATAGGAAAGAGTATGAACACTGACAATATTAATATGTGTGAGGTTAAAATGAGTGTCAGCCCCTTAGTGTTTATGTGACTGATGATTACAGCAGTTGTGTAGGGGCAATGTGGAGAGAACCAAGGGTCCTAAGTGGCAGGAAAAGCATTGGGCTTTTCATGTGGTGTCCCGCCAACTGCCTTTTTTGGTGCTAGTATCTCACTCAATCAGCATCAAGAAATGGCAGGATATTGATAGGAAGGCACTCTTGGAGGAAGAATACCTCTATGTTGGTTCTCATCCTTGTTGCCTGCAGTGCAGAACATAAGTGACTAACATGAGTCCAAGGAAGTGCAAGAATCCCAATATTCTTATCATCAACAATCCCGCTTCTCCTTGTAACCACATGCTTGGACAATCCAGGAACTCTAAGAACATGCCCATTGGCATGTTCTTAGAGTTGGAGTGTCCCATACCTCCTCTCATTGAAGCTAAGATCCAGAAGGAGCCAGTTAAAGCAGGTGAAACAGAGGTACAAAGTCTGTAGCACTTCATCAGTCTTCCTAACAATGTGTACAGGTGTATTCTAACTTTATGTCAAAGTTCAAAGCAAGACAATCAATCTTTACTGAAGAACTGGTTTGGAACTATGCAGGAACAACAAATGCTGCTTGTGCATGGTGTGGTCAACCCATGCAACTCACAATGAGATGCAGGGACTGTTTTCAAGCCCCCCCTCTGTGTGGTTCATGTCAAGTAACTTCTCATGTGCACAATCCTTTTCATTGGACAGAAGTATGGCAAGGCAAATTCTATGCTTGCCAGTTGCTATGTGACTTGGGCCTCCTCATTTGTCTTGGGCACAATGGTGCAGCCTGTCCTGCATTGTCGAGGCCACCCTCCACACCATTTGTGGTGATCCATGCCAATGGCATCCACAACATGTTACTAGGATTCTGTCAATGCCCCAGAGGACTGAATTGCTACATTCAGCTACTTTGTGCAAACTTTTTCCCTGCAACATTTGACAACCCAAAGATGGCTTTCAGCTTTACCATCATGAAGGATTTCCACTTACACATGCTCTGCTTGAAGAAGTCTGCATATGACTACTATGCAAAACTTGTAAGGCAAACTAGTGACATTGTCCCACCCTCCACCAATGATTGTTATTGAGAGCTGCTCCATGCCAGCTGGATATGAATGGACCTTGAGGCGTCCTGGTGCTGTGGGGAAGCACACAATGTCAACAACAATCTTCCTCCATTTGCAGCTAGTCAAATTCACAGTCCACTATGTCCAGCATGCCCACAGCTTGGTATTAATATCTCCAAGGAAGAATTGGCACAGGCTGACCCAGACAAACTGTGTGTACTATCTGAATCCCTCTTTTGGATGCAAGCATCTAAGTCAGTAACAGACACCTTGTCACACTGTATCTTGGTGGAGATGGGAACTTCACCCTTTCAGCAAAGAAGAAAAACGTTGACACCAATGATGTGGGTCTGCTGCACAGTTGAGGATTTTTCCCAGACCAGGCGCATTTCAGCAACTACATCCAGACCCACAAAGACATGAAGTTGGTAAGTGGATCTACTGGGATGGATTGGTTGAGAATTTTGCTGAGTCCAGTATTTAGGCTCAAACTTGCAGTGGGTTCAAAACATCCATGCTATTCCAGGGGAATGTCAGTTACTGTTCTTCTGGCGTGTACTCCTGGAGTTGCTTACACCACAGCTTATACAGACCAGGTGGGATGGTGGATTGCAGGTTGGGGAAAGGTGTGTCCATTTCTCAATGCATCTCATATACTATCCTGATGTGGACAAGGTTCTCAAACATTGATTATGCATTTGCAGGGGCTATTGCAGGGGCCAAGGCCTTGCCAGTCATATATTTGTCATATGACTTGGCATGCATGTGGTCTCTCAAGTGGAAAGAAAGGATGAAATCATGTTTTCCTCACCTGGTGCAGCTTTGGGATCATATCACGTTTGTCATGCCCAAAATGCACAAATACACTCATCACAAGCAGTGTTGTTATCGCTTTTCTCTCTCATTCAAACAGGGAGCTGCTGGGGTGGACGGTGAGGGAGTTGGGAGAACTTGGGCAGAGCATAACCAACTTGGGGGTAGCACCAAGGAAATGAATCCTGGGCATTGTTTGGACTGCTTGGAAGCGCACTTTGTCAACTGGAATTGGAAGAAACAGCAAGATATGAGTGAGTGATTGATTGCAAGCAGTACCATTCCTATGTCGAAGGATGATCTCTGCAAGGATCCATTTGCAACACTGCAAGGAATACTTCAACAATCTTAGTGTTGCATTTGGTCATCATATACACTGATGGAAGAAGCAACCAGAATACTTCGAGAGAAATGATGGGACATTCTTTAGTGTTTACCAATTTCCAGATGAAGCAGGTGTGTTTAACCCATCTACAATGGTGTCAAACACTAAAAGAATGTCAGTACCATCTCAAAGACATGCGGCTGACCAGATGTGTGATGAAGAGCAAACAACCTTGGATTCTATCACTGCAGCAATAGGAAGGGCAGAGATGGGGGACTCTGTCTTGTTCATCCAGCTTGGGATTTCACTAGAGGAGCATCTGTAAGCAGAATCTACATTAGACTTCCTTGCTGGGGTCTTGAACTACACTAGGCTGGTTATCCAACAAATGCTGAAAGAATTGAAGCATATGGGTGGGGACAATGCAGACAATACAGAAGCAGACTGGCTCCAGGCCAGTCTACTGCCCCAGCTTCACATGTGGCACATTCAACAACAATGTCAAATGCCAATGTTATCAGCAAATATATCAATGACTTTTGTAGAGAGTCTACCTGAGCTTGACATAATTGGTCTGCTGTCAAACTTTGATTCACAAGCAAGAGCTGCAATGAACCTGGAATGCCTTGCTCACATCAAAATGAGATTGAGGAAGGCACAGGCAGAACATGTGATTGGCCAGATGATTGAAGCAATGAAGTTGCAATACCTTTTTAGAGACAAGATCAGGACCAATGCATTGGTGGTGGGGCTGAAGACCAGAGCATGACAGACCATGGACGTTCAGCATCATTTGGTGAAACGCCATGCAAATTCCTATTGACATGCAAGGAACGCCATGATTAGCCTAGGGCTATCAGCCGATGATCCAAGATACCACTTGCTGGAAGACTTTGATATTGAGACTCACCGTTTTGATGCAAAGACAGGTACCACATGGATGTCACCTCACATACAGTGGATACACAGGTTATGTTTGGGTCAGGGGCCTGTTTCAGCACACACAGAGGACAAATGGAGTGACACTGGTCAGTCTAAGCTCATATTCACTACAGTTGAACTGAGATGTTCTGCCAGTGGATTCAGTTACATGGTGGCATTCTTATGCAGCCATACAACAGGGCCAAGAGGAAGTAGAACTCTTGGAAGTGGAGATGAAGCAGGCTGTCTGCTTCTTCGAGTATCATGGTGCAGTCTGGGGAGCATCCACAATCACCTGGTCCACCCACATGGAAAACCAGGGCTGGTCAGCTTATGCTGCTAAGCAGGTGCATATCTTTTGCAAACTGGCAAAGTATGGATGGAAGAGTTTTTCTCTCTATCTAAACACTTGATCAGTTTCCGATTGAAGCATGATTGTTCCCTTGAGTAGCCCAGATGTTTCAGGCAATCCCAGTTGCCAGGATGGCATGATTGCTCTCTGTGAACATCATTTTTGAACCTGATGTACACCATCCCACCTACCAGGCTATCAACCTGGCCGCCAACCTGGGATCTTCATCCAATTGGAGGACAAGGAGTTGTCAGGGTTATTCCTGTTGTCTGGTGCAATAAACCTTTCCTTCTCACATGCCTGTTTCAATCACAAAGCACAGCCAAGCATCAAAAGCAGTTCTTTGGACCTGCTCTCCGTGTATCAGACATGGCCCCTGAATGGGCATGATCTCAGTTATTGCAGGTATTTCCATTGTCCATGGGGAATTGAAAATTCTCATTGATGAATGTCCCAGTGTCACTCGCTTTACATAGAAACAAGTATACCAAAGAAGAGCTGGGAAATTTGTCATGTTAGCAATGGTGGCTTGTTGCTGATTGACTCAGCAAGGTACCATGGAGTGTGAGAGTCTGGAATGAGAATATCTCCTGGGAAACCCATCTTATGCATTGCATGGGTTGGTGAGTGGGTGCCCATGCCCAGTGGAAGGAATGGCAGCTGATTGGACTACAAGTGCAATATCTGGGGATCAAGGGAACTGTGGGGGAGAAAAAAAGGGAACATACATAAGGAGGCCAGCAACATTTACCCAGTATCCTCAGCAGTTCAAGCAACCCTCGCCTGAAAATTGCACAGTGTGCAATATCTGACATGATGCCAGTTGCACCCATCCTGTTCAGAAGCCCTGAATCAGATGAGGTGTGCAGAGTCTGCAGGAGTGGTATATACCCCTGGATTATGCTATTGTCAATGGCACAAAATAAAGGATGTTCATTCCAGGCAGTGAGTCTGTGATACCTAAAGGGGAGGATGGGAAAGACTAATGCATTGCGAGTCAGTGTGATGGTGAACAGGGTGGTGTTTCCCACTGGTCCCATTGGCAGGCAGATATAGCTTGGCATCATGCAATGTCTGCCCCACCCATCTATACTGCAGCAATGCCCAATATAGATCTGATGACAGTGTTGTTCCTGGTGCATGGCTTTGCAATTCACTGTTCAAATCTGGCTTGTTGCAAGATGGGCAATTGTCACTGTCCTTTCTTGGCATGCATCAATTGCTGCCCAGGCTGCAATTGTCCGGGACATGATAAACTTCATTCCATTGTCTCATCAACTGCACTGGTGTTCAGCTTTTGATAGTAGCCAGCTGCAGGTCATGTGCATCTGCTGCATCCAAGTTCCTCTTCAGGTGGCTTGTTGAGCTCTGGTGGAGGTGGTGGCTGTTAGGGCAACATAGGCTGACTAAGTCTGCTCACCTAAGAGTGCCAAGAGTCTAAGCAGGCAACAAGGAAGTGGAGTAGACCTGATGACTAAGACCTATCTACAGTATAGGTACCTGTGGATGATCCTAAGAGACCAAGTCTGAAGAGACAGTCCCCAGGCAGAGTAGGCCTTATATTTATACCTCTGTGGTGGAACCTTCTAGAACATCTTGTTTACTCAGCCTAGTCAGGTGATCAGGTCATATGACCAAGGATGAGGTCATATGAGGTCATGCACAGCCATGCACAGCAGGTCACCTGACCATCCAATCCTTCCAGCAGGTTTCAGCACATGCCAAGGTATACCAGCTACTTCCATGTCATAAAGGCTTAGTCATGTCTCTTGACCAAGCAATGAGCTGGTGCCCTGACACTTTCCTGGTTCTTTCATCCTTTGAATGGCAATGACCATGGTGGTGATGAAGGAGGCAAGGTTGAGGAATGCATATGGCTGTCTGAAGACATTGGACATGAGCAGGCAGCCCTCTCTGAGGACACACTTCTGTCCATGCTCCCACCAGCTGGTTTTGAAGTCAATACTGGCTATGAAGAGTTTGCGCTAACTGCCAACTATGGTGGAGAGCCAAACACACTGGATGAGGCATTGGTCCAGCCAAATGGTGAAGGGGATAAATGGTGTGAGGGGATCAAAGCAGAACTTGAGCAGATTGAGAAGCTCAACACCTGGATGGTTGTTGAAGCACCTCCTGGCACCAACATCGTTGGCAGCCACTATGCCTTCTGCATCAAATGTGATGAGAGTGGCAAGCCTGTCAAGTACAAGGCACACCTTGTTGCACGGGGCTTTACCCAAAGACATGGTGTTGACTACTATGACACATATGCACTGGTCATCAAGCCCACAACACATCGAGTCCTTCTGTCCATGGGTGCAATACAAGGAGATCCTATCATGCAAGCAGATGTGAAGAATGCCTACCTCAATGCCCCAATGACTGAAGATGTCTACATGGAACTTCCTCCACATTATGAGGAATTCAATGCCAACTTTGCCAAAGCCAACAAGGATCATATGGGCAGATGCCTTGTTGCCAAGCTCCATCAAGGCCTCTACAGCATGAAGCAAGGTGGATGGCTATGGTACCAGCACCTGAAGAAGACCTTTCTTGATCTCAGCTTTTGTGTTGCAGATGCAGACAATGCTGTCTTCTACAAGTTCTATGACAAGAAGTACATCATTGTCGGTGCTGCCACAGATGACTTCACAATCATCTCACCGGACAAGGCTTTTATCAATGGCTTCATCAAGTATATGAACAAGCACTTTGAGCTTGTCAACCTTGGTGATATCAACTGGTTGTTGGGTATTCACCTGACTTGCAACCTTACAGCACAGACCATATTGCTCAGTCAAAAGACCTACATTGAGGATATCATTGGTTGCATGGGATTAGAAAATGCTTCCCACATTACAATGCCAATGGAACCTGGTCTTGACTTAAGCTATGGATCTTTGGCACTATTGCCTGTGCTGCTCAACAATACTGAGCATGCACAATATTGTTTTGGCCTCAGTGCACTCATGTATGCAACTATAATGACAAGGCCAGATATACAATATGCTGTCACATTCCTTTCGCAATTCTTGGAGAAGCCACACACCACTCATTTGAAGGCTCTCACTCATATATTTCGATACCTGAAAGGAACAATGAACCAGTCACTCATTCTTGGTAATACTGCCACTGGCAGCAACATGCTCATTGGTTATTCAGACTCTGACTGGGCCAGCCAAGCCCATCATCATTCTATATCTGGCTATACCTTCTTCATTGGTAACAGCAGTATCTCCTGGAGCTCTAAGAAGCAATCAGTCATCGCACTCTCCAGCACTGAAGCAGAGTATATTGCTCTCACTCATGCAGCCAAAGAACTTGTCTGGCTTCACAAGTTGATGAATGAGCTCTTCCCTGTCCAGAACAATGATACTGCAACCACTCTTTTCTGTGATAATCAAGGTGCTATCATCCTGTCCAAGGATTCAACTTACCATGCAAGGACCAAGCACATCACAATTCAATACCACTATATTCGACAGATTGTGGGCTCCTGTGAAGCAGAAATCCTTTACTGTCCTACTAATGACATGATTGCAGACCCCTTCACCGAATCTCTCACTTGTCCCAAGTTCGAAAGGTTCAGGAGGATGATTGGATTAAGGGAGGGTGATTGAGGCAAGGACTAGAGGGCCACAAGGGATGAGGGTTGTAAGTTTGAGGGAGGGTGATGCCGAGTATTGCATAGTTGTCCATACAACCCTGTAGGGGACTTCTGGAGCGGAAGCATTTGCGATCCAAATGCGTGCTGTAGAACTACATCCAATCTTTATCGGTGACATCCACCCCAGCCTGTCTGCTGCTGCTCATCGTGAGCGACTCGGGGTTGGTAGACTTATACCCTGGCTCTATTATCACCTCTGGGCAGCCTCAGCATGGTGGTTACGCGTCTGGATACATATCTGCCTTGGGGAGGTTCTGTTTGGCCATGTACTGCTGACTCATCACCTCTGAGTCAGCACCTAGGACGTAGTCAGCGCCAAGTACTCGCTGACTCATCTGGGACCCTAGCTCGCCTTGGCAACTCCTCGGCAGTCCCTCGTTGTCTTCCTGCATCTACTACCGGCACTCCGCATATTGCCAAATGTGACCTAGTCGGCTACACCTTACTACACCATTTCCCTTTATCACCCTCTTGCCTCTTGCGAGGGGGTGCGTTCATCTCTGGCCAGAAGTTCTCCCTTCCCTCTTGCCTCTTGCGAGGGGGTACGTTCCTCTCTGGCTAACAGAACTTAAACACCGGTCTTATGTACGCTCGCACAGAGGTTGAAAGTTCATTCCACGATGGCGTGTATCTGAAGGACCCGATGCTCATGTGGGTGCAGTCTGGGACCGTACGTTCTGCTCTGCCGAGCAGGGAGGTCATGGACACCCTTCACTCCCTCGCCCATTCTCGTGTTCTCTGCGATTAGAGGAATCGAAGAGGTCCGGGACGAGCTCACACTCGCGGGCTCAGAGATCTATCTCAGTAGGGGATATGATGTGTCTGGCTCCAGTAAGCTTTCGAGTGTGTGCGTCTTATGATGCCCCGGGCCTTGTCCCGCGCATGTCCTGCTTACCCGCATCAGCGGTTACTTCCCGATCATTTCTCTCCGGTTTCCCTGGGATTGGTGGTTCAAAGGGTCGGGTTGGCTCGCACTCGTTTCTTTATTGGCGGCTTCACAGTCGTTGGATGTGATTTGGCAAGTCGGCGAATGGGCGAATGTGCGGCGGCGCGGCGTCTGACGCTTCTATCGTTGGCGTCTCCACGCTTCTCACGCTTGTGATACCAATCGACTCGGATCTCTACCTTAAAGGTCAGGACTCTATCAACACCAACCATCTATGAGAAGCTCTCTGCGATCAGGAGATGACGGCGATCTACAACCGGCTTAGCTTACAAGCTCCAACTAGAGCTGTGAGCTTCTGCGATTATCGAGCTGTTGGTGCATCTCGTCCTGGCCTTCTGTGAGAATTGTTGCATTGTGAAAATCCATTGCAAGTTGGCGTTCCAGCTCTTAAGAATCAAATTGCACGAATCGTCACGCCTGTTTGTCACGTGCCGGACCCTTTCTTTGTTTTCTTCCAGAAGCCGAGAATCAAAGAAGAAGGGGGTATGACGTCACCGTGGATTAGCTAAGGCGCCCTTTCCCTCCTTTTCGCGCCGTTTTGCGTGTCTCGCGGTCTTACTTTCGGCTCGCTTTCATTTTTCTCACTCTATAAGGCTCTTGACTCGGACGGTGAGCGGTGAGCGGCGAGGCGGTGTACGAGAATCAAGCCGGAACGCCCCGGAAATTTTTGGTCTTCGAGGTGCAGGTTCTCCTGGAACTTGAAGTGCGTACCTCCTAGCGCTCTTGGCCCGGCCTGTCCTAACAACCGGTCTAGATGCTTATCAAGAGCCACGGAACAGGGCTAGACTTAGGATCCCTGGGCGATTCGTATGGGTTTTCAGCTGGGACGATGCGCAGCCGGAGACTGGTGACTTGGGGAAGGGTTGATAAACGGCCGGAGCAGGCACGGACCTCGAGCTCTCGCCAAACATATCGAGCCCCGGTATTCACTCGAACGATTCGGGGGCGTCACTCGTTTCCCCTACTTGTACGACTCTCTTTCTCCTAGAGTTGCAATTCGATCGCAATCGACGTCATAGAGAAGACCTTGGAATCTCGGCCCCGATGCTTAGCCTATCATCCATTGTCTACTAATAGCAACAACGCATTCTCATTCATTCGGCGCCGAATCATTCACCCACACGGGCCGAGCACATCAGTCTTACGTGAATTGACCTTCTCACCCCACTCAATTCAACCGCAACATGCGCCCACCAGCATGGTTTCACACGTCGGTGGAGCGGGATTCTGATAGGCGGGCAAGGGAGGACACCAATGAAGAGTTCGCTCTCCTCCCACCATTATCACACCTTCCACCTACAGCACCTTCACCTCCAGCACCGCTCTCTCCTATCCCAGAGCACGCAGCTTCACGTCAACCGTCTGTAACGTCGACGAGGATCACAACGTCTGCAAGCTCACGCACTATCTCCCCTTCGCCGCTTGGGCTGCATCCTTCCAACTTTAGGATGAACCCGCCAGCAGAGGGAAAGAAGGCCCGACGTGTGCAGTGGGCACGCTCAGAGCAGGGGGATGAACGCCGAGCAGGCAACGGAGAGGGAGAGGGAGTACGAGAACGAGAGGAAGACGGAGTGGGGGTGATCGAGGCGGGTCCGGATGCACAAAATCTTAGGGAGAGGAGAGAGAGGCGCAGGGAGGAGGAACGGTGGGAGAGGGAGAGGCTGTCGAGGGAACTGGACGAGAGGGGGTTGGATGTGCGTCTTCCCTTCCTTTTCTTGCTATTCTTCACCCTTCTGCAGGGTACATGATTATCATTCATTCTGTGTCCTTCTATCAATTCCTTCTTTCATCTTTTCATACTTTCTTATCCTCAGTATTGTGCACACGGCTAACATCTACAAAGAGAGAAGCCTTCCGCGCTCTACGCACCGCACTCCAAACGCACCAAACCCAAACCCAAACTCGAACTCAGCGCACCCTCCCCTCCCTTCCAGCACCAGAAGAATTAGACCTAGACGTGTACGTCCCCTCCGACCAGACGTTCGGTCTCCCTGCACCTGTGCCTGCCGCTCCAGGGGAAAGGGATGATATAGAGCGCGGCGAGCAGGGAGCGAGCAAATGGGGGTTCGTGCGCGCTGCTGCTAAGCTCTTGCGACCTATTGAGAGGGACGCACGCCCTCTGCCACCCCAGGTCCAACCGCAATCCCAACCGCAACCCCTGTCCCAGCCCCACTCCCAACCCGAATCAGGGGAATGCTCCTCTCAGCCAAGTCCTCTCAAGCCCACTTCCAGCACCAGCCCCTCCCCCGGCTCGGGCACAGCACATCTCCAGATGCAGATGCAGGGGAAAGGCGTGCTGGCGAGCTTGTTGGCTATGTATGACCAGCCGAGGGACAGGTCGGGGTTTTCGATTGTGGGGAGTAGTGGGGTTTGCACGCCTGATAGTGAGGAGGAGCTGAGTCCGCCTCGGTTGAGGGATAGGGAAGAGAGGAACGGGAATGGGAATGGGAAGATGGAGAAGTGGGAAAGGGTCGAGCGTGTAACGGGCAGGGACGGAGCAGAGACTTCTCCTCCAAACGGCGCCTTCCCTCTCTCCCAAACGCGCAGCGCGTCCGAGCCTGGAACTGGAAAACGGAACAAGTCCGCCAGCCAGGGGATCTCCCAAATCTGGCAAGCACTCGCTCCTGGGCCTGGGACACCCCCAGCTGCTCGTTCTGGTGGTGGCGTGCTCGGATCACTTATCGCTACTACTGGAAACCTTTCGGGTGCTGCTGCCCCGGCGGCTTCACAGTTGGCCCCTCAGGTGGGGAGGAGCGGGTTCCTGCCTCTCGAGCTCGACGTCTATCTCCCCTCCCCCTCTCCCTCTTCCTCCCCCTCCCCCTCTCCCTCTTCCTCCCCCTCCCCCTCTCCCTCTTCCTCTCCCTCCCCCTCACCCAGTGCATCCCCGTGAAGGTCATACCGCGCCACATGAGGGTGAAGGAAGAGAGGCGCAGGAGCTGGGCGAGCATGGGCTGGGGGATAGGAGATGGGTTCGCTTTCGCCAGCCGACCGGGGAGCGCGCCTCCTAGCAGAGGAAGCAGCAGGATGGGGAGCATGGAAGATCTCTCTATGCTGGAGAAGACTGGCTCTTTACCCGAGTACTCCAGCCCGAAGCAGATGGATCTTCCACTGTCACTGTCACGAGAGGAGACGTTTCCTATGCCCATGCCCCTTTCTCGTGCGACTACTGCTAGCTCCGATGCGCCCAGCACGAGGAGTGCACCTCCTGGGAGACAGCTCAAGCGCGCACAGTTGCCAGGGATGCTTTCCCTTCCCAGGCTGACGATGTCCCGTATTTCGTCGCGTGAGAGCAGCCCGGAGGGAGAGCTGAAACACAAGCGTTCCCAGAACTACTTCTCCTTCAAGCATCGGGAGCCCACGCCTGAGGAAGAGGAGAAGCAGGAAGAGGAGCGCCAGAAGGAGGCAGAGCGTCGCCGCCGGAAGAGGCAGAGGAAACGCCGGCTCGAGAAGGAGATCTTTATCACCATGCACGTTGCGGCCATCTTACAGCGGCCGGAGTTCCTCCTCAAGCTTGCAAGGGCACTGATGATGTTTGGCGCGCCGACGCATAGGCTGGAAGCGCTCATCCAGGCTACGGGACGTGTGTTGGACATGAACGTCTCCTGCGTTCATCTTCCTGGCGTTATGCTCCTCTCCTTCAACGACGATACGACCCGGACGAGCGAGACCAAGTTCCTCAAGCAGCCGCAGGCTTTGGATCTCGAGCGCTTGCAGGACGTCCACGCGGTCTATAACGCGGTCATACATGACAAGACAGGTGTGAAGGACGCGAGCGACAGGCTGGACGAGATCATGCGCGGCAGATCTCGCTATCGCGCTCTGATCGCTATCATCATCGGCGGCCTATGCAGCGCGTTCATCACCCCGATCTCGTTTTCTGGCTCGTTCCTGGACGCAATGCTCGCCTTCCCACTCGGATGTCTCCTTGTCCTCATCCAGCAACTGGCGAGCAGAAACGAGCTCTTCACACACGTATTCGAGATCGTCGTCGCTCTCCTTCTCAGCTTCATCTCTGCCGCTCTGGCAGCGACCAATCGCGTCTGCTACGCCGCCGTCGCGAGCGGGAGCATCCTACTGATCCTCCCTGGGTTTATCGTCCTCACCGGTGCGCTCGAGCTCGCAAGCAGGAACATCATCAGTGGGAGCGTGCGGCTCATGTATGCCGTCATTTATTCCCTCTTCCTGGGATTCGGACTTGCCATCGGGGGCGAATTCTACACCGCTATCACTGGACAGAAGGTGATCGGCATCGGCTTGACCAACGGTCTCACCTGTCCCGTGCACGACGACAACGGTCCGTGGTGGCAACAGCAGGCGAGCCCCTGGTGGGCCTTCCTCTGCGTTCCGGGTTTCTCTTTTGCGCTGAGTTTGAGAAACCAAGCGCCCTGGAACAGGAAGGAATTCGTGAGTCTTATCGGTTATCGTCTCCATCAGTGTTCACATGCTCACCTGTGCGTAGGTCGTAATGATCCTCATCTCCTGCGCAGGCTGGGCAACCAACCACTTCTCCTCACTCAAGTTTGTCAACCGTACGGACATCATCGCCATGTTGGGTGCACTCGTCGTCGGGGTCTGCGGCAATCTCTACGGTCGCTTCATCGGACAAGGCATGTCCTTCGTCGTCATGGTTACTGGGATCCTCTTCCAAGTACCATCATCTATCAACGGTCTTCTATCATTCGCCTCCCTTGCCAATACCGGCCAGGACTCGTACTCTGCTGGGTTCAATATCGCCGAACAGCTTATCGAGGTGTCGATCGGTACGCGCTTTGTGCTCATCTGGTAGAGACAACGCTCACGTCATTATTCAGGTCTTACTGTCGGTCTCTTCATAGCAGCCGTCATCACGAATCCGTTCGAAAGTCGCCGGCGCGGCTATGGTTTATTCAGCTTCTAGAAATTCCCTATTCCGCTCCTCGCTGGCCGAGTTGGAGCATCGCCATACCATCAACCCAATATTCCCAACAAAGAAAGACAACATACGCATGGTCGCATCACTCCCGGACTTTTGAAGTTTTATCGCATCTCTGATCTCATGCCTGGCACCAATCGTAATGACATTTTTTTTCATTGCTCCCTTCCATTTCTACTAGCAGACCTTGCTCCCCTGTATGTCAGTGGCATAACAATAGCATGATGAGCCGTTTTGCTCTATGGACGCTGGTTCCTTCATGGCACAGCCTGATTGCCGTTCGCCTGGATTTGGGTCCGATTCGAGAATTGCCAGCAATACTTCACCAGTTCATTGGGATCTTCGATATGCTTCGGATGCTTACATGTGATCAATGCCACGGCAACATTACGCCGCCCGCATAATACGCCGAGGATGCTGAAGCGCAGGGACGGCTCCGCTGATCCTCGGGGAAACCGGCATTTCTTCGAAATTCACTATCATCCGGGCGTATGGTAAAATCGCTTGCAGTATCTCGATATTGCGGCACACTCCATTGTCATCAATTGAACTTTAATGCGACACGGAACTCCAGCTTTACTGGCAGATCAGACACCTTGATGCGAGGATAGCGCCCCAGAAACGGACGCTATGACATCGCGTTTCCGCGAGGTCGGAGCTTTCATATTCCTATTGGCATGGAAGCAGTAAATGTCCTCCAGATTAGCGCTGGTGTTTCCGATCGGATCAAAACGTCCCATATAGGAAAGGAAGCTCCCTTTGTCCTTTAACATGTAGGGTGCTGCCTGAACAGTTACTGCTGTCGACTTGGATCATCCTAGGCGCTCTAAGAGCGCCAAACTGGATAATTCCTGGGCATTCTGAGACCGTCAGCTTTGGGATAATCTCGTGAAGGGCTTACCCAGTTTTTCAGATAATCCGTGGATCATCTGAAGATAATCTCATCTATTGCACACGTGGGGACCACCGTCACAGCGTTACATTCAGTCGAGTATGGGTTCATTGACGAAACTACAATGACATGGTAACATGCATACAGATATATGACATACTAGGGTAACTATAGACTAATTAGAATAGCCGGTTCTTAGCTAGACGTGATAATTAATGTACCATTAAACATTTCCATCCCCAGCGTGCATCCCAAACCATTCAAACTAAACACTCCACTTCTCCCTCCTCTTCTCATTCTCACAGAGGATCTTCGCACAACTTTCTGAACGACAAGAAGTTCAGCCATTTCTTCGTCTCAGCCATGCAGTCAAAGTCGTTCGCGTTTTGGTGTTGCTCGATATGGATCGTGTTCCCGCTGAGAGCGTTCTGAGAGTTGTTGTGCTGGGGAGGAGAGGGATATGTCGAATGGGAAGGAGGCCAAGTGGGAGGAAGAGGCAGGTAGTTGGGGCCATGGTAATTAGCGGCGTATCCATAACTGTAAGTACCTATCAACAGTGTTAGAGATGTTGCCCCATCCGCAGAAAACCAAGAGACGCACCATGCCTCATTGAAGGACCACCTCTCAAAGCTCTAATCCGCCGCTCAACATCTCTCTCCACTGCCCTAGCCTGCACCACATATTTGTAAGCTTGATTGATGCCATCTTGTGCCTCGCGTTCCCTCAGGTAGTAGAACAGAGCGGCAAAGGTTGGATAGTCGGCTTGAACGTGGTTGAGATGGTCGATGGCTTGAGATACGGACAATTTGGCACGTTCCATGTTGATAGTCGCCATTCCCAGTTCCGTTTCCAACTGGTTCAACGCATGGTTGATCAGGGAACGTGGATCTGAGGGACGACCAGTTGAGGGGCGGGGAATGAGTGCCTGATGTTGATGGTGACGTTCTGAGTGGGAGCGGGGTTGGTCATTTTCGGTGTGTTTTCCTGCTCCCCATTAGGTCACGTTATACATAACCAGGTAATGACTTACCTTGGTTATCCACTGACGTTCTGCTGAGATGGACTTGGCGTGTGAGCGGCAGATCGAGATCCCATATTCAGGCATGTCCACGGAACCAATATCCAGGGACGCTCACACTGCCACTCATCTACACAACATTAGCTTGTCCCTTACACATCACGTGATGTGCCACGTCAACAAACTGTGACTTACCTTCTTCAACTTTCACCATCCTTGTCTTTACTAGGATGCCTATCATCCCAAATGCCGGTGAAAAAAGCACAGTATGTAGCCCGTCTCCCCATCACACCTCCCATTTTGAATGATTCATAAGCTGTCATTCTCCTCAGCATCTCTCCTCTATCCCTGAACCTCATGCATCAATCCATGCATCAAGTCAATGATGAGGGCATCAAATGCACCGCTATACTGGGTTCACATGTAGGGCATGCCTTGTTGATCATTTGGTGATGTGAAGTTGTGTGTTGCACTCCCTTAAAAACCTTCTCTGCAATTATCATTCAATCAGTGATTCCTCAACATTGTCCAGCAAATTAGACTCACCAAGATGTGTAATACTACTTTTGCAATTCAGTGTCATTCCATCCTTGCTGAACAGCTCCCGGAGCTCAACTGGCACCCTCTATTGTGTCAAGATGCTTCCCAACCCTGGTTCCTTCCCCACCATCACTGAGTGTTATCCAAAAGTGCCAGCCCACTGTGCTCACACTTATACCATGTGCCATTCCTTTATCTGGCTTTCCTTTGAGACTGACATCATGGGGATTTGAGTTAATACAGCATGTTGTGAGGCAGTAGCAATAACAGAGCAGAGGATGATGCATTGCAACAGAGATTGCTGCTGGGTTTCAATTTTGAATCTGCTCAATACTGCCCCACAATGCTTCCATCCTTTTATGGACTGATAATCAATTGACCCTAACTACATCATGGTATTTTGGTGCAAACTATGTGCTAACCAGACCAATATTAATACCTGGCCTGGCATCATTACATTCCTCCCTCCACCTGTAAATGTTATGAGGACACACAAGAACATATCCTTTCACCCCACAATCATCTGTCAAATCAATGACATCCACATCTGACCATGTTTCTATCCTCCTCTTTTTCCATGGTCCAACATCATTTCTCTCCTTGTGCTTGTGATGTTTACCATTCCTTGATGGTACAATGAAGCAATCTTGCTTCTTCTTCCTACCCATGGAAGAAGGTCCTCTGCCTGCAGCAAATATTAGACTTGAACTCTTTCAATATGACATCATGCTTCCCTGTTGATTTCTCTGTCCCCTCTCCACCTGTTCCATGCCTTTTGTTTGTTGCAACCTGGCACCCATATGTGCAACCCCTTTTCTTCCCAGGATTCTGCACTGCTGGGAAGTCAGTTTGTCTTCAAACATAGGCACTACCCTTTACCTTCTGTCAGGGCACCAGCTCATTGCTTGGTCAAGAGACATGACTAAGCCTTTATGACATGGAAGTAGCTGGTATACCTTGGCA